TAGGTTGCGCAATGGAGGCTCAGTGTTCCGCTGGAGCACACACTGCATGGTAATAGACTGGGCAATGGAGGCTCAGTGTTCCCGCTGGAGCACACAGTGCATGGTGTAATAGACTGGGACAATGGAGGCTCTGTGTTCCCGCTGGAGCGCACACACTGCATGGTGTAATAGACCGGGCAATGGAGGCTCAGTGTTCCCACTGGAGGGAAAACTGGGACCAGACCATATATATTTAATGTAAGATTTATTGTACAGAGAAACCAAAACCCATCTAAAATACCAGCAAACAAAAAGATATAAAGTGAACATAAAAGCCCAGTGACAGAATACCCAACCAACCAATCAAAAGCCTAACAACAAACTATATACAATATATACAGAATGGGAAACACCAAAAAGCAGGGAAAACTGGAGGAGCAGGGAGCAGACTTGCAGGAGGAGCAAAACTGGAATCAGGAGCAAGGGAGAACAGGTACAAGGCAACAGGGTACAAGGTAGGAGAAGGATCAGGATCAATGGCAACTAGTATCTGGCAGCAGCAAAACACTGGAGCGAGGTACAAGAAGGGGAGGACCAAAATTCCCTCCCAGCAGCCAGCACTAGGTGTAAACTGATTACTGGGGTCTTCTGGTTGCTGAGAGACACCCGATGGTGTCACTAGAATGAGAGGCACAAGAAAGGGAGGACCTAAATACCCTCCCAGTACCCAGCACAGGTGGAAACTGATTATTGGGGTCTTCTGGCTGCTGAGAGACACCCGATGGTGTCACTGGAACAAGAAGCACTAGAAGGGGAGGACCTAAATACCCTTCCAGCAGCCTGCACAGGTGGAAACTGATTACTGGGGTCTTCTGGTTGCTGAGAGACACCCAATGGTGTCACTGGAATGAGAGGCACAAGAAAGGGAGGACCTAAATACGCTCCCAGTACCCAGCACAGGTGGAAACTGATTATTTGGGTCTTCTGGTTGCTGAGAGAAACCTAATGGTGTCACTGGAACAAGAGGCACTAGAAGGGGAGGACCTAAATACCCTTCCAGCAGCCTGCACAGGTGGAAACTGATTACTGGGGTCTTCTGGTTGCTGAGAGACACCCGATGGTGTCACTGGAACAAGAAGCACTAGAAGGGGAGGACCTAAATACCTTCCAAGCAGCCTGCACAGGTGGAAACTGATTACTGGGGTCTTCTGGTTGCTGAGAGACAGCCGATGGTGTCACTGGAATGAGAGGCACAAGAAAGGGAGGACCTAAATACCCTTCCAGTACCCAGCACAGGTGGAAACTGATTATTTGGGTCTTCTGGTTGCTGAGAGACCACCCGACGGTGTCACTGGAACAAGAGGCACTAGAAGGGAGGACCTAAATACCCTTCCAGCAGCCTGCACAGGTGGAAACTGATTACTGGGGTCTTCTGGTTGCTGAGAGACACCCGATGGTGTCACTGGAACAAGAAGCACTAGAAGGGGAGGACCTAAATACCTTCCAAGCAGCCTGCACAGGTGTAAACTGATTACTGGGGTCTTCTGGTTGCTGAGAGACAGCCGATGGTGTCACTGGAATGAGAGGCACAAGAAAGGGAGGACCTAAATACCCTTCCAGTACCCAGCACAGGTGGAAACTGATTATTTGGGTCTTCTGGTTGCTGAGAGACACCCGATGGTGTCACTGGAACAAGAGGCACTAGAAGGGGAGGACCTAAATACCCTTCCAGCAGCCTGCACAGGTGGAAACTGATTACTGGGGTCTGTTGGCTGCTGGAAGTCACCCAATGGTGGACACCAGAACTACAACCTTCAGCTCGGGGAAGCACAGTACCACCAGCAGGTGATCCAGGTCTTGACACGTGACCCTTGATAGTGCTGACAGCCAAATATTGGTTCAGAGCCGCCCATTTTACCTGCTGCCAACAGTATTTTTCTGCGATATATTATTTCTTTGGAACAAAATGTAAAGATTCATTTTAAATTCGATTGTTATTGTGAAAAACTGTTTGAGTTGTAAAGGCTCAAGGATATTTACCTTCATACATTCTATGCATGAAGATAAAAAACCTTCAGCGTGCACATCCCCCCACAGACCCCCCAATACTTATTTGAGCCCAGGGGCGGACTGACAACTCATGGGGCCCCCGGGCAATAGGAGATCATGGGGCCCCTGTGTCCTGTGAGCTGTGTTCCATGGGCCCCCACCCAAAGTGACTCCCGTCCAGGGGCGGACTGACAACTCATGGGGCCCCCGGGCAATTGGGGATCATGGGGCCCCTGTGTCCTTGCCCAAACTCAAAAAAAAGCCTATGAAAAAGGTACCAGGGGCATCTCATGGGGCCCCCTACTGACCCCAGGCCCTCGGGCAGTGCCCAAGTTTCCAAATGGTCAGTCCGCCCCTGCTTGAGCCCCATCCCAAGCACCTGTTGAGGCCTGTTGAGGCCTAGTAGCAGTAGCTTCACTGGAACACACACACATACCCCATCCCAGGGGGGGAAGCCCCAGGAGAAGAGCGCTCTGATCAGATCCTTCAAAATATTTATCTTCTCAGCCACACCTTCAGGGTCAGCCCCCCAGGGATTGGCTAAAGTCAGATAACTATTCACAATCCCGGTGATCGATCTTCCTACTCTATTGCTGGAATATTCTTCCAGTTGCAGACAGAAGCAATCAGACACCAGATTGAAGACCTGAGCAGACGTGAAAATTAAGTTGCATCTCGGCCGGCTACGGCAAAGCAGGATTACTAAATGTAGCCGCCCCGGTCAGGGGTGCCACAAGCAATTTCCCGAGCCTGCACGGCTTTATGGCCTGGTATGTTTGGGATCTATTTACTCGATGCAACCCAATCTTTTAGATTTTGCCCAATAAAATTGGGCATTATAATGTGTTTGCATTAAAATTATTTTTTTTTGTTATTTTTTTTTGTTTTCTGTAAATATTTTTTTGGCAATTGATAAACAGTTGCGCAAATATTGTGCCGCCATTTACCTCCTCCAGGGCCTCTGACTTCAGAAAATATACTGTTGTTTGGGGAGTTTAAAGTCATTTTGAAGCCCAAAAAAAAAAAAGAAAATGCAGATTTTAAGGGGTTTGTGAAAAAATATAAAAGTACTTAAAGCCAACTGAGGGAGACTTAGGAATGATCCCTTGCAGTGGGGCTGCGGCTGCACTGACGTTACATGGCGGACCGTAGTCCGGACACGGACCGAGTGATGCTCCAGCTCAGATCTTCAGCCTGCCAGTCTGCAGCCGGATCTCCGCTGCACAGCAGTCATTGGTTGCTAGGACTGTCAGCCAATGACATCACATGTGTGCTCCACCCCCTGCAGCAAGCTTCTCCACCCAGCTCCTGCCCCCTGGCCTGCCTGACAACTGGGACATATGTGTCATGTACACCGAGACCTGTGATGGGCTCCACCAACCGATAGGTACATGCTGACGGGTCACAACTGATCTAGAAGGATAGTCTGATGGGCACACATAATGTAAAGGGGCACTCTGAATGGAAGACGTCCGGGGCACTCAAATGGGGACACCTGATGTAAAGGGGCACCCTACTGGGGATTCACTGATGGGGACACCTGCTGTAAGGGGGGCACTTTGATGGGGATACCAAATGTAAGGGGGCACTCTGATAGGGACACCTGATGTAAGGGGGCACACTGATGGGGAAACCTGATGTAAGGGGGACTGTGATGGGGACACCTGATGTAAGGAGGCACTCTGATGGGGACACCAGATGTAAGGGGGACTGTGATGGGGACACCAAATGTAAGGGGGCACTCTGATGGGGACACCTGATGTAAGGGGGCACACTGATGGGGAAACCTGATGTAAGGGGGCACACTGATGGGGAAACCTGATGTAAGGGGGCACACTGATGGGGAAACCTGATGTAAGGGGGAGCGCTGATGGGGACACCTGATGTAAAGGGGTGCTTTTAATTGGGACATCTGATGTAAGGGGCACTCTGATGTGATATCTGATGTAAGGGGGGGCACTCTGATGAGGACACCTGATGTAGAGGGGGACTGTGATGGGACACCTGATGTAAAGGGGTGCTTTAATGGGGACAGCTCATGTAAGGAGGCACTCTGATGGAGACACCAGATGTAAGGGGGACTGTGATGAGGACACCAAATGTAAGGGGGCACTCTGATTGGGACACCTGATGTAAGGGGGAGCGCTGATGGGGAAACCTGATGTAAGGGGGAGCGCTGATGGGGACACCTGATGTAGAGGGGTGCTTTAATTGGGACATCTGATGTAAGGGGGCACTCTGATGGTGATATCTGATGTAACTCTGGGGGCACTCTGATGGAGACACCTGATGTAAAGGGGCACTCTGATGGGGACAACTGATGTAGAGGGGGACTGTGATGGGGACACCTGATGTAAAGGGGCACTCTGATGGGGACACCTGATATAAGGGGACACTCTGATGGGGACACCTGATGTAAAGGGGCACTCTGAAGAGGATATGTGATGTAAAGGGGCACTCTGATGGGGACACCTGATGTAAGGGGCACTCTGATGGGGACTCTCTGATGGGGACTGTTGTAAGGGGGCACTCTGAAGAGGATATGTGATGTAAGGGGCACTCTGATGGGGATACCTGATGTAAAGGGGCACTCTGAAGAGGATACGTGATGTAAGGGGGCACTCTGATAGGCACACTCTGATGGACCTCTTATAGTACTTAGGATTTGGACCTCAGCCGAACGAATGTTTTCCCGCACAGACCTCCTTAAATTTCCATTCTATATCCCCGTTACACATCATCCATGATGTTTATTTCATGTTACTCGTTGGACTGCTCACCTCACACCTCACACCTCGCACCTCACACCTCGCACCTCGCACCTCACACCTCGCACCACACACACATCACACCTCACACCTCGCACCTCACACATCGCACCTCACACCTCACACCTCACACCTCACACCTCGCACCTCACACCTCGCACCTCCCCACACACATCGCACCTCGCACCTCACACCTCGCACCTCACACCTCGCACCTCACACCTCGCACCTCGCACCTCACACCTCGCACCTCACACATTGCACCTCACACGCACCTCGCACCTCACACATTGCACCTCACACCTCGCACCTCACACCTCGCACCTCGCACCTCACACCTCGCACCTCAGTCCTCCTGCTTTCCCACCTCCATCTTTCATCTCCTTTGCGCTTCATTCTGTACATTTTTACTGTTTGGCAAACGTCACATCAGATACACAATCAGTCAGCTGACCTCGAATTTTTCAGGAAGCATTTTAGTTCCCAATCTACATGGATGAAGTTTTTGTATTTTGTTCTTCCTGCAGACGGGTTCTCTTCATCTCTTCCAGTGTTCATCCGTCTAGATTTGTTACCTTTTTTGGGGGGGGGTTTATACTACAGTCTATGCAGAAGCCGCACTCCCACGCGTTTCTCTTTCTGCGCAGTCTGTTGACATTTCATTATAATTTCATCCTCAGTTTTTTCGTTATTTTATAAGGATCATGTGACATCATTTACTATGACTTCTCTATTCATACCGGCTTCCTTTGTATCCTATTGTTCAATTTTTATTGCTGCCTTCTGCCGGGAAGACCGACTGTTCTTTATTTTTCTATACACATCATTTATGTTCGTCTCCTCGAGCTTGCGGTATCAGTATTCTCGTTATTTCGCTTGTTTGCAATAACCAAGCCGTCTCTACCCCCCCCCCCCCCCAACCATTTACCCTAGCAGAGCAGACTTGGGTCTCCAATGTCACTTTATGCAAAAGAAGGGGGGGGGGGCATAGCTTCTGAGACCCGGTCTGTATAGAAACTTGCTGACTTTACAGTCTCCACAGGCAGTGTCAATTTAACTCAGATGTCAAATAGAATGTAGCTTTATTTCTGGGTGGCTTTCAACCCAAAACAAAAACCTAATGTATTGCATCTTACCCATCTTTAAAGGTGGTAGCTGCATTAGTTTTAGGCTTTTTTTTTCTTTCACCTGGTGATCTGGCCAGTAACAACTCCTGTATTAAAGTGCCCCCCCCCCCCCACACTCTGGATGAAGCAGCACAGGGAGCACCTATGGACAGTAGGGGTAGGGCTGTGTGTGTGTGTGTGTGGTGGGGTTTGGTAAGATGTACTAGCAGCAGGGGCGGACTGACCATTCGAGCACTCGGGCATTGCCCGAGGGCCCGGGGTCAGTAGGGGGCCCCATGAAATGCACGATACCTTTTATATCCTTTTTTTTGGGTGTGCTTTGTGTTTGGGTAAGGACACAGGGGCCCCATGATCTCCTATTGCCCGAGGGCCCAGGGTCAGTAGGTGGGCAGGGACAGACTGACCATTTGGAAACTCGGGCACTGCCCGAGGGCCCGGGGTCAGTAGGGGGCCCCATGAGATGCTCCTGGTACCTTTTTCATAGGCTTTTTTGAGTTTGGGCAAGGACACAGGGGCCCCATGATCCCCTACTGCCCAGGGGCCCCATGAGTTGTCAGTCCACCCCTGGTAGGGGGCCCCATGAAATGCCCCTGGTACCTTTTATAGGCTTTTTTTGGGTGTGCTTTGAGTTTGGGCAAGGACCAGGGGGCCCCATGAGTTGTCAGTCCGCCCCTGGTAGGGGGCCCCATGAAATGCCCCTGGTACCTTTTATAGGCTTTTTTGGGGTGTGCTTTGAGTTTGGGCAAGGACACAGGGGCCCCATGAGTTGTCAGTCCGCCCCTGACTAGCAGCTTTAGCTACACTAAGATTGAAGCCATCTCCAGCTAAGTGCAGTTACAGCAACTTTTTTTTTTTTTTTTTTCCTTTTGGGATAAAGGATTAACGGGAATAAAAACAGATCATTGCAAGCACCCGTCAGCCGTAAATGGTTTCATCTCCCCACTAATACATTGGCAGCACTTGGTAGGTGGAAAAACAGACTTGCAGGCTGAATCACCAGCAGGGGCGGACTGACCATTTGGAAACTCAGACACTGCCCGAGGGCCCGGGGTCAGTAGGGGGCCCCCATGAGATGCCCCTGGTACCTTTTACATAGGCTTTTTTGAGTTTGGGCAAGGACACAGGGGCCCCATGATTCCCTATTGCCCGGGGGCCCCATGAGTTGTCAGTCCGCCCCTGATCACCAGGTTAAAAAAAACAAAACAAAGGAAAGCCTAATAAATCTAATACTGCCATCACATTGGTCAGCTGAAATATAAAATATTTTGGGTTTGATACCACTTTAATAGATTTATTGCAGGTAAAATACTCAGGCAGGAGCTTTGTAGGACTATCTATAGCAGAGACCCAACAATCTTCATTGGCGCCAACACTAGCAACAGGCTGTACGTTCAACTCAAATATCGGCTGGTTGGTGGGCTAGTTGCCCACCACACTCCACTGTGCTCTCACTGTATTGTGAAAATGACTGCCCCTTATAAAACTATTTATTTTTTTAAAGTTTCACTGATTTCTTGCCCCTCAGGACATCACCCAAGTCCCCGTTTTTATCCCTTTAAAATTGCCAATAACTTCTATGTAAGCCTTCAAAATGGGCACCTTTTAGTTTTCGAGTCCCATAGACTTCCATTAAGTTTGAAATTCACAGTCAAACATTCATCACGGATGTTTAGTCCATCACCAGTTACCAGGGGTGGACTGACCATTTGGGAACTTGGGCACTGCCCGAGGGCCCGGGGTCAGTAGGGGCCCCACGAGATGCTCCTGGTACCTTTTTCATAGGCTTTTTTGAGTTTGGGCAAGGACACAGGGGCCCCATGATCCCCTATTGCCCAGGAGCCCCAAAAGTTGTCAGTCCACCCCTGGCCCGGGGGCCCCATGAGTTGTCAGTCCACCCCTGCTAGTTACCACTCATGAAGTACAAAGGCTTGCCTCATAGAATAGTTTACAAAAGGAGAAGTTTACCTTCTGCTGAAAAATACAATTTTTTGCTGGTAAAAATATATATATTTTTTTAAAGTGCATTTTTCTACAGGAGCCTGGAAAGCGTTGTACCAGCCATCAGTAGATAGCTATTGCCATGCAGGGCTCCTGCAGACCTGTCAGATATTCTGACAGGAAGCTTCAATGAACTATTACGGTGCTAGGGTAGTTAATTGAAAAACTACAAGGCTGCTGGGACTTGCACTTCATTCCTAGAGGTCCGTGAATGAATGGGGGAACCCCACAGTTTTCAAATTTGCTAGCAAGTACGGGGAGACTTTGCCCCGTACTATCTGGACATGGGGGGGTTGTTCCAGGCAGCAGCTATGGGAATGTGTTACATGTCCCACCCTAAAAGGTGAACTCATCCTTTAACCACCTCCCGCCCGTCATATAGTCCAATGACAGGCACAAGGCGGTTCTCTTGTTCTGGGAAGACATCATGACGTCCTCCCATTCTAACCACGCATGCGCGGCGATCGGTGATGCGCTGCGTCCCTCGGATACAGCGGGTCACAGATCAACGGAAAGAGCCAAAGAGGTTGGCTTGGTCATGTGATCAGCTGTGTCCAATCACATGTAAATAGGGAAATGCCGGTTATCAGCATTTCTCTCAAGAACTGTCACGCTGACAGAGGATAGAGCCGGTAACCGGCGTTCCGCGGAGGGGACATGTACACTGATCATCAGTGTAGCCCCAGCAGTGCCACCTGTCAGTGTCCATCCATGCCACCTGCCAGTGCCATCAGTGGACATCAATGCCACCTTTGTGTCATCCAATACCAGTCAGTGCTACCTATCAGTGCCATATATCAGTGCTGCCTTTCAGTGCCCATCAGTGATGCCTGTCAATGCCCATCAGTTCCACCTACCAGTGCCTCATCAGTGCCCATCACTGCAGCCTCATTAACACACATCAGTGAAGTAGAAAAATCACTGTACAAAATTTTATAACCAAAACAAGGAACTTTCAGTGGTTTTTGGTTTAAGAAAAAATAAAAACCCAAAAGGTGATTAAAAACCACCAAAATAAAGCAGTCGCAAAAAAAATTATAAAAAAAAATTTCATATGGGTACAGTTTTGCATGACCATGCAATTGTCAAAGTGTGACAGCGCTGAAAGCTGAAAATGGGCCTGGGCAGGAAGGGGGTAGAAGTGCCCAGGGGGCAAGGGGTTAAGTGCTCATTACATGCACAAGGTACAGAGTGGTTCAATTGTGTGTACGGTGAACTTAAATCCTCCAGTCATTTATACTTGTGGTTGAGGTGCAGCAAAGATATGCACTTGGGCTACATTTACCACCCCCCCATATGCAACACAAGTATAAATGAGGCCTTGCTCTGCAAATGCAAATCTAACTAGAGGGGTGCTAAACTACCAAACTTCAGTGTTAGACAGGGGAAGCTAGTTTTTTTTTTTTTTTTTTTTTAGAGGGTGGGTATCAGCATAGTCTTAGGTCTGTAGAACAGTTCCAATACCTCCTCCTGCTTTAGAGATGAGAAGTTTCTAGAAAACAGTGGGTGGGTGTGATC